AAAGAAAGAAAGAAAGAAAGAAAGAAAGAAAGAAAAGAAAGAAAGAAAGAAAGAAAGAAAGAAAGAAAGAAAGAAAGAAAGAAAGAAAGAAAAGAAAGAAAGAAAGAAAGAAAGAAAGAAAGAAAGAAAGAAAGAAAGAAAAGAAAGAAAGAAAGAAAGAAAGAAAGAAAGAAAAGAAAGAGAGAGAAAGAAAGAGAGAGAAAGAAAGAGAGAAAGAGAGATAGATGAAGGACTGGGGAAGGAAAGGAAGGGAAAGGAAGGGAAGGGGAGGGGAGGGAAGGAAAGGAAGGGAAGGGGAGGGCAGGAGAGGGGAGGGAAGGGATTGTTGCTTGAATGGGGAGTATAGGCCTGGGACAATATTTGTGACTTAGTAAAAAGGAAAGAGGAGGATACAAAAGCAGAGCATAGTTGTTGATATACATGTATTTAAAATAACACATGATAAGAATAGAGGAGAAATGTCTAGAAACAAATACAGCAGAAATTCATAGCAACCAGGGAGAGGAGGTCGGATTCACGGGCCATGTTTTACCTTCCCTGTGTGCCATTCCCTACTTCCCAATCTAGGACCAAGAATGATAAACACGGCCAGTCTCTGACCCTGAGCTGTGAGCAGCCAGAGAAACAGATCACGCGTGATAGGGAAGGTGAGGGCCTCGTGGCTGACACGGGGACAGGGTGGTCACACCTGGGCAAAGGTTGGGAGGACCAGACTCCAGTGTCCCCAGCATTCCTGTGTCCCGCTCTGGCTGAAGACATGTGGGTAGGAGCAGCAGCAGGTGGCTGCACATGTGGCTTTTAGTGGATGTCACGTTCCAGATGTGCCAGCTGTGCTCCCATCGTCACCCTGCATATTAGGCATCGAGCCCACCGTGCTATTTATATCCCCTGGAATGTCATCAAGCTTGCCGGCAGGCAAGTGCCTTTGCAATTCATTCCAGGCCTGCTCCCACCGCCCCATCTCGGCCCAAGACTTCCGGGAGGCCCACTCCACAGATAAGGAGCTCCGGCTTGGCCCACTAATATGGTTATTTTAGGGACCACTCAGGACAGGCTCGGGTGGAGGCCCAGGTCAGCTGTCATCTTGTGCTTCATCAACGCCCCAAACAAGGGTTGAACTGAGAGCAGCACTTATTTGGAGGTTGGGGGTCTCACTGAGCACAAGATCAACCTCTCTGAAGACAGCTGGGAAAGGGCTTCTTTCAGAAAGACCACTTCCACCCCACCCCAGCACCTCTGAGTGACCCCACACACCCACCCACTGGCCCGGGTGACCTTGCAGGGGGGAAGGCAAAGCCATTGCTGTCTAAATCTGAGACCCAGGAATGCATAAGAGGACACGCTAAAACCTCCTGAAACAGAGAAATCTCAGGCTCAAATACATCATTGTTCTGCCGGCTTCAGCAATTGCAACCATTTTCACCCAGCGTTTGAAGGGCAGTCAAGTGCAAGGGTGTGGACCTCCCCACCCAGCTCACTGCGGCCAAAGGCTCCTCCCTCCGCCACCTCCACCCCGCCAGAGCCCCCCCCCCCAACGCATGTAAACTTTGCTCGGGGGTTATTTAGTCTGTCACTTGTGGCTTGCTTGTGACATTAAACAATGACACAAGTTGGGCAGATACAAATCTAAGGTCAGATGTGTCATTCTTGATTCCTCCAGCCACTTCCTTTCTGAGAACAAGAAGAGGCCCTGGCTACTGGGCTGGGAATGAGGGTCAAGGTCACCGTCCACGGGCGCCCCCTCCCGGGCCCACCTGAGAAAATGTTTCCCGGGGGATCCAGCGCTGCCCAGTGCTGTCCCGGCTGGATGCAACGAATCGGGCCCTCTTGCTCCCAACTCTACCCAGGATCTGAAGGAATGAGGCCCGGAAGTTCGGCACTAAGGCTGTCTCCAAGGTCACTAGCCTTGTAGGGGCACAGCCCCATGTGACGACTCCTAGTGCGTAAATAACCCTAATGGCAACCCTCCTCCAAACATGTCAAGTGAGCCATGCGAGTGCTGGGAGAAAGTCTGCCACGCAAGCATGACCGATGGAACCTTTGACCTTTCGTGATGCCGTCAGCGCCCGGCCACTCTCCCCTCCCCAGAACAAGTTCCACCTCTCGGTCCCCTAGTTAGCGGAGACTCGGGTACGAGCCAACGGGAATTGTTACAAATGGCGAAGGATGCTCCGATTGCCCCATCAGGAAATTCTAGGGGTTTTAACAGCTCTGTGCCGTACATAAAGACGAAATGTTTACTTTTTCTGCTGTAAGCTGTGGAGCGAGGCTTCGCCTGGGTGGTGGAGTTCAGGCTTCTGAGCTGGGAGGTTATTCTGAGTAGAGATTAGCGGCAGAGACAGCAAGGAGGCCGGCCGTAGAGCTGGGGAGATCGCTGCCCTGAGGCTCTGCAGAGGCCGAGGCGGGCAGGAGCTCAGCTGTGCCCCTTCCTTACAGCAGGCAGAGGGAACCGCGAGGAGGTGGTGGCGTGGCGACAGGCAGGGAGGGGACAGATCCTGTAGGGCCGCCTGGGCACTTTGCTACTAGCGAGGTGGGTGCCCCGGGGGAGCGGTGAGCCCACACTCTCCTCTGCGCTAACAGGACCCACGGAGAGGTGGTGAAGACTGCACCCCAATACGGAAGAGGAAACCGCAGCTTCCAGGCTGTGGGGCCTGGAGCTCAGCTCATAAGAAGCGGCACCTTCTCCCTTTAGTCTCACAGAGGAGCCCCTGCGTCCAGGCCTGACTTGCCGTGGGCATTTCTGCCAACCGTGCCCAGCTGCCCCCTTCCGTCACCGCCTCCTGAGGACCCCGTGCTGGCGACAGACAGGTGACCCAAGGCAGCCTCCAGCAGGCAGGCCCACCGGGTCCAGTGGGCCCTCCTCGCCCAAGGCTCCTCCGGGAAGAGACACGCCCCGCCCCTGCCCCACCGCTCCGGGCGGGGCTCCGCCCCTGGCTTGGTCTCAGCACCTCTCACGGTGGCTCTCAACGGTGCCCACCAGAGGTCAGGGGACAGCACCTGGGGACGTTAGTGGTCATCACTGTGGGGACGCTCCTGGCACCCCTTGGGTGCATCCTGCGTCCTTCTGGGACCCTTGGTCCTCTCCTGACCGACATTCACCGTTGTCTGCCCTTCCCTCCTTTGCATGTGTTCCCTTTGTGGTGAGCGCGGCGTCGTCCGAGAGCTCGGGCTTTGTTCCCTGCCGTCCACAGCATGCCCCCGACGCCAAGGACACCGCTGCAGCCAGCCGTGCTCTGAACGCACTTGTCGCATGACACGTGTAGCAGAGGCCAACTGGCCCTGGGCCTCCCACTGTGCCTTAGGCCCGGGGCCTGCAATGGAATCTGCGGGGCTCAGGGCAGAATGAAACGGTGGGGCCCTTGTCCAAACGTGCTAATACATTCAAGATGAAGCAGCAGGGCGGGAAGCGCGCTTGGGGCCTTCCGCGCGGAGCCCCGGCCTGGCTGGAGCACCGAGGTGGTGCTGCCCAGGGGCAGCGGGACAGTGGGCTGATGTGTGCACACACCTCCGGCCTGACTCCAGGCTGCCAGCCCCGCCTTGGCCACCCCTGCAGAGAGGGGAGGGGGAGGCCAGAGGCAGCCGGGGAGCTAGGCTGGCCCGGCCCAGGTGCACAGAGCCTCCGTCCAAGCAGCTGTCGAAACTCCTAAAGCTTTGGAGATCCTGTGTTTTCCTCTTCTATTTTTATTTCCTCAAATCTAAGACCAAAAGAGACCAGCGCTACAGTTGTGAAGGGCTCTGAGCCAGGAAGAATGGAGCCAGAGTCAAAGGGTGAAGAAATATCTAAAGAGGTCACCGTGGATGTCCTTGGCTGGGGCTGGACGGGGCGGGGTCCTGGGAGAGGCGGCCCATCGGGCATCAGATGCCCCTGACCTGCAGCTGGCTAGGGCTGCTCCACGTTCGCAAGCCGGGAGGCAATGATTCCTCTGATGCTTGTGAGCAGAGCCCCCTGGAGTTGTGCGAGGCCCGGTGCATGCAAGATTTCCAACACCCCGGTCTCTGCGGCCACTCCCACCTCCCTGGGCGTGGTCCGTGTGTGAGGGCCAGTTGCACACGGGCCCGCCAGGCTCAGCCTGAGCCTGAGAGAGCTCCAGTGCAGGGCTGTCTGAGCTCCTCGGGCGGGTCCCTGCAAGGCACCTGCGAGGGTTCAGACAGGCAGTGTTCTTGTCCTCCCCAGGCACAAGAAGAAAGGGAAGAATGGTTCCAGGCCCACAGACTTACATAACGAGCCCTTAAATTAAAAGTGCATTGCCATTCATCCCCTTCAAAATACTCCCCGGCACTTTGAACCCACTTGTCCCATCTTTCCTGCTGATTTCTGAAGCAGTTCTGGAGTCCTCCTTTGTGAGTGTCTTTATGAAATGTGATAAAAAAAAAAAAAATACCATGGTTGTTGCCGCCACGTGCCAGCCAATGAAAAGACAGGCTGGTAGAAATACTACAGCTCGTCCTCGTCTACCTTATCCATTGGGTCTGGCACCGTGTGACATCCGGCTGCTCCCAAAAGTCACAATGGCCGAACAATCTGAATGGATGCAGGACAATGAGGTAGCCGTGACAGCACAACTTAAGACCCTCATGAAAGAGGACTTCCAGAATTGCTTCAGGATGTAGCAAGAAGCAGGGGGTAAGTGTCTGCAAAGGGAGGGGGAGTGCTCTAAGGGAAGGTTCCTGGTAATTTGTTTTTTACTATAGGAAATTTTTAAAGTAAACATTCACTATAGTTTTGGTCATGTCTCATGCAATTCAAACTTCTTGACTCAGCTGGTGAGGTGCAGGGTTCCAGAAGGCCCTGTGACTTTAGAGCTGTCCTGCTGTTAGTGGGTGCTTTATGGTCAATGCTCAGGCTCCATCTTCTGAAGCCAAGGTGGGAGGAGCAGAGCCCATGCCAGGGAAGAACCATGAGGCAGCCCTTGAGCTCTCCACACTCTGAGGAAGGTCCTTGAGTGGCCATGGAGGAGACTTCTCTCGGAGGCGAAGGGCTTTGGCAGACGTGGCTCAGACCCTAATCGGGTGATCTGAGTTATTCTACAGGGGTGGCACTGGGGCCTGTTCTACGCTACTTGGAAGAACCCAGAGGGCGGTCAGAGAGCTTCTCCAGCTGACGTGAAGAATCGCCTCCCAGTGTTGGGAGGGCCCCAGGAACAGGCACTAGAGATGCTGAAAGTGACCCACGGCTGATGCCACCAAGAAAATAGTGACTCAAAACATGGATGCCTTTTGACTCCCTGATGCCGGATGCGAATGCCGGGCCAGTGTCGAGCGCTGATTTTGTGAGGTCCTGAGCATGGGGCCCAGCAAGTCCAAGCCTGGACTCCTGCCCCAGGGAGATTGTGAGGTAACAGTGGGTGGTGGCTTAAGCCATTAACTCTGTGGTGATTGTCACACAGCACAGAAAACAAACTCAGATCACTAATTGCCAGTCACTGGTACCCTGAGAATTCTGATGGTAATAAGATCCTGACCTGACTTTTGGCTGTGCACTTTGCCAACCAGAATAAAGTCTATAGTTTCCAGGCCTCCTTGCAGCTAAGAAAGACCATGTCCCTGCCTTTTTGCTAAATGAAAGGTGTGTGGAGCTTTTATGTCTGATCATTAGGACAGCTACTTAAAAGGAACACATAGCCTAAAAATAGATCTGATGACAGGCACTCCAGCAGCCATCTTGGACTGTGAGGTAGATTGTAACTGTGGAAGCTATGTATTAAAACAGCAGAGCAGGAAGACAGAAAGGAACTAGATCCTTCACGGCACAGTAGAGCTACCGTCCTGACTTTGGCTGGCTGACCTGCAGACTTCTTTCAAAAGAGAGAAGCTTTTACCTTCTTTAAACCAGCTGCTTTGGGCTTTCCTGTTATATGCAGCTGATATTAAATATCTCAAGTAAGATGGGCACCATACTCATGTCACAGGTAGGGAAACTGAGGCTCAGATAGGGTCGTGAGTTTCCCCGAGGTGGAGGTCCCACAGCTAAGGCAGTGTCTGGGCTGGGCTGTGCTGGAACTGACCCACACCCCTCTGCCCACACCTCTTGCTGGGTGGCATGAGAAGGCTCCTCCACCCCAGGTAAGTACTTGGGAGAAGTATTCGGTGTCTTCCAGAGGAAGCAAGTGCTTGCCCCTGTCCGCAGCTGCCCACACAGTGCATGTGGCCAGGGCCACCCCCACCCCAAAACCCAGGAAGAAAGTGCTGTAGTGTGCCCAAACTCCTTTGACCTCTGCAGAGCCCCCTCCCAGAAGAAGGAAGGACAGAGTACCTCTTCCTCCTGGAAGCCTTCCGGGGCCTCTTCCCCCCTCACACCCGCCACCGTCTCCTCACTTCCAATGGTTCAGAGTCCCTTTACAGCCCTTAGAGCCGTACCTCATGGCCAGCAGAGAGGTGGCTGACTCCCTGCTGTTCCCTTCCAACCCTGTCTGCTCCAGCCACACAGGACTCCTCTCTGTGCTTCCTACCCACGGAGCCAGCCCACCGCAGGGCCTTTGCACCTACAGATTACTCAGCAGGATGTGCTTCTCTTACAGGAAGCTGCCCTTTCCCAGGGCAGTGCCAGCCTGCAGTTAGGGGTCTGCCCTGGTCCCCCCTTTGCTGAGCACCTCACCCCTCCACACACACATCCTACATGGTCCTGAATTACTCACCGTCAGGCCTGGCCTCTCCAACAACACATTGGATCCAGAGCCCAGGGCCGTGGTATTTTTATACTATAATGTCTTTTAAAATCAGAAGAATTGAGTATGATCTTGTTTGGTTTATATTCGTCTTAGGCCAACACTGTCATGAAATAGGATTTCTATTTTTTAGGGTGGAGGGGCCCCACAGGCCCAGCGTGCTCTGGTTACCATTTGTTCGCTGAAGTCCCCGAATGTGAGCCGCCTGTCTGCAGATGCTTCGCTCTGTCCGGTCCCCACCGTGCCCGGCAGTGGATGCGCCATGCGTGAGTGACCGAGCAAATGACCTGCGAGCAGAGGGTGCTGCCCTGGAAAGGCCACCTGGGCCGGGCAGACCTCACGTAGGGCCGGTGGCCCCTGGACCCCCACCCAGCACTGCCAAAGTGTGAGAGAAGGGTCAGAAGTGGGGGGCACACCGGGACAGGGGACAGGATCTCGGGAGAGTGACGTGTAATCTCATGACAGAGGGTTGATGGTGGCACCATGAAGACTACCGTCTGACCCACATTCCTGGACCCTGGAGTTGACATCACTCGGACAGAGGTCGTTGAGGAACCATCAGCTGAAGATGTGAGGTGGAATCTCTGCAGACCCTAAGTCCAATGACAAGTGTCCTCATCAGAGGCGGGGCAGAGGAAGACGGAGGAAGGCACACGAAGGCGGGAGCAGCCCGGGCTGATGCAGCCACGAGGCAGGAGTGCCCAGGGCCAGCGGAGGCCCCAAGAGGCTGGCACGACGCACTCCTGGGCTTTTCACAGGGCAGCAGCCCTGGATGCCTTGCTTAGGACGTCCGGCCCCAGGACTGTGAGGAGAATAAACGTCTGCGGCTGAAGCCACAAGTTCATGGAAGTTTGCTATGGGAGCTCAGGGGGCTCCAAGCTCACCTTCTCCAAAAGAGCTGGGGAGAGGGACCAGCCACGTGGCCCCTACCAGCCCCCAGCAAGGTCCAGCGGGGAAGGGGAGGACCACAGCGGGGAAGGAACACAGTCGGGCAGTTTGGGCCATGAGCCCAGCCATGGAGGAAGCCCCAAGTTCAAGGTTAGGCTCGAAGACAGAGGTCCCCAAGGAGTGTGGCAACAGCACGGAGACCGGGTGCTGAGCGCATGTCCAGCCGGGTGTGGGTGCAGGGCTGACACACAAGCAGGACACTGGAGGTCGGCGCTGGGGCCACAATCCCCACATCTCCCAAGTAGCCCCAGGACAGTCCAGCCAGGGGAGCGCAGGGTTGAGCTCAGACTTTGAAGTCCAACAGTGCTGCCCGCAATCACTAGCTGGGGCACTGTGTGCAATCCCATGACCTCTCCATGCCCAGCAGCGAGGAGAAGCTCTAAGGTGTGGAGGGCCAGACAGGAGGAAACCGGGAGGAAGGAGCCGCATGCCAAGGACGAGCCAGGCCGCTGTGCCTGCGCACACACGGGGTCCACAGGGCCTGTGGGGAGAGGCCAGTGGGAACAGAGCTGCTCGTCCTTCCTGCAGCCTGTGCCTCTGAGAGTCTAGCTTGCGCTTTCCCACCCCTACAGGGACCTGGGTGCACAGACGAGTGTCTGCCGTGTTAGGGACGGCAGCTGGCGCTTGCCCTTTGAAACAGGCAGCGAGGAGCACCGCCCTCTGACCAGCCAGGAGCAGCTGGGCGGAAAGGGGGTCCCGGGGGCCCAGATCTGTCGATTTCACAAGAGAAGCCAGATTTGCAGATTTTTTTTTTTTCCACTCCAATCTTTTGATTTTCGAAAACATGTTGGCAATGAATCCATGTTTTAAAACATGGGTAAACACCAGGCCGGGGGAATAAGGCACGTCTGCGAGGCCACATCTGGACCTCCGGTTTGTGGCTCCGGTCTTTGGCCTGGAAAAAGAGAACAAAAGCTAAACTGCATCGGGACAATGACAGGAGGATTTGGAAATCGCAGGGGCTGGAACTTGTTAGGAGCAGCCGCCCGGTCTGAGGCAACTGGGGGGGGCGGCAGCCCGTCCAAGAATCAGGCTGGGACTCGGGGGACGACCATCGGGGACAACCATCAGGTGACTGCAGCACACACTTCAAAAAGAAAAGAAACTCAGTGTGCATGCTGCCTGCGGCCCCTCAAAATGCTGCTCCAAGCACAGGGCCCTGGGGCCTGCGGCTTCCCCAGGCCTGCAGCGGGGAAGGCTTCGACCTCCGGAACGGGGCTCCCATAGCAACCCCCCAACTGCTGCAGTCGTGTGCTCCAGCCAACGTGGGCTCTGGGGTCAGTCCAGCTTTAAAGTTTTGGGTGTAAGCACCCCCCCCCAGTTCCTCTCTTGTGCCTCTATTTTATTGGGATGACTAAATCTTTCAACTATGTTAGCCGTAAACACAGCTAATTTACCCCCTGCCTCTCTGAAGCAGCTGCTAACAGCTGCACTGTAATTCAATCAAGGGTCTTTGCAGCGGAGCCTACCAAATTCACATTTGTTGTTGGGTTCCATCTCTCCCGCCTGGAGCCCCACACAGCTGCATCAAATATTGACAAGGAGCCTGCGCCCCCAGGCCTGGAAGATAAACAGCATGCTAATGGCAAGGAGTCCCGGGTTGAGGAAATACAGAAAAGCAACACACACACACACACACACACACACACACACACACACACACATACTGAGGCCCAAGAACCAGAACCAAATGACTGTTTTTATTGCAAAGTCAAAACCCTTTTTATTGTGTCTATTTATACAGAATTTTCACTAAGGTTGCTCTATGTGACAGCCGTGGGTACATCGGTCCAATCGTCAATAAATAATCTTAAATAAGAAAACAAACAGGTTGGAGGAAAGCAAGCTCGTTGTTCTGAATGAGGGATGAAAGGGTTTGCAAAAGAGCTTCAGATGGAAATAAATAATTTCTTCGTCTCATCACAACTATTTACACGTTTTAATGTACAAACGATGCTCAGCAGAAGTTGGCCGGGGCACTCAAGTAGTGGAAAAGCTCCCACCAAGCAGGAGTCACACAGAAAGCCCCAGATCTGCCAACAACAAAACAAATTCTGACAAAAAATTCTCATCTCCCAACAGCCAGGCAGTGAGAGCTGCAGCCCAAGCTACTGAAGAAGAAAAAAGAAAAGAGAACAAGAGCAGAGCCCCACCGGTTCCAGGCACTGACTTGTCAGAGATGGAGAGCAGCTTCTGTGGGACCGCATCTCCCCTGGCCCAGGTTGGGCCTGGGTAACTAACTGTGTTCTTCAGGTAGATGCAGGCAATGGATGTAGGCAGCTCAGCCCTCCCCAAGTCTTGTGCTTGCAGCTGCGAGCTGGCCCACACCCGATGGGCTGAGAGCAGAGGCAAGGGGCGCTGGCACCCAGAGCTGCAGCAGAGACACCAGCTCTAAGTCAGGACCCTCCGTTAGGAGGTCACTGTCTAGGTCAGTGGTGGTGAACCTGTGGCACACGAGCCGCAGGGGGCATGCACAGCCCTTTTGGTCTGCACGGGAGCCCAGTGTATGGCTTGCTTTTTCCAAACTAAGACCTCAGTATTCAGGTTGAATGGCAGTGCTGGCACTTTGCAATAATTAAGGGGGTCTTGGGTTGCAGTCTGGCCACTTGGTCTCTGAAAGGTTCACCATCACTGCCCTAGATCTTTCTGTTTGTGACTTGAGTCCAGCACGCCCTGTGCCCGTCAGCCCTCCTGCTGCCCTGGCTCTTAGTTCAAGCAGCAAATCTGTTTGCAGAGCTCTCTACTAGCAGTCAGCAAGGGAAGAGACAGCCGCAATGCCCCTGGTAGGACCCAGCTCCCGGCATCGTCTGAGAGGAGACACCAAGCACCCTGCTTGGAGAGAGCTGCTGCTCTCTCTAGGCCAGTGACAATTATGTTTCTTCTGTGCCTATTAGTTTAACACCAAGCTCAAGCTGCAAGCATCACCCTACTGTCTGTCCTTGTCCATTCCACTCCTTCACATTGCTCCCTACCACGGGGAGGCCGGAGACCCCAGTACCAACATCTGCCCAAGTCTCACTTAGCCAACGCACACCTGGCTGAGGGTGATGGAACCTCCCCTCCTCCGAGCACACAGCTGTCCCTCCCACCCTCCTGTGTCTTGGATTTGCGTGGATCCGGGTAAACACAGGCCCTGCAGCCTCAAACTGAAACCGGAATGGAGCAGAGGGGGCTTCCCTGGCCTCTGCCGGCCACAGCTTCCATTTATAGTCAGGATAAACCAGGAAACAGGGATAAATTGTTTAGGAAAATATACCTGTAACATCCTAACCATTTTCATTCATTGGCTTTATTGTGACATTTATTACAAGAAATTCTGTGCCAGCTTCCCCTCAGCGCACACAGGCGCCCACCCTGGTCACGTCCCCTCCTCCTGCAGCTAGCTGGTGGCTGGTCGCCGGGCGGAGGGCGCCCTGATCACCTCTGGAACAAGTCAGAGCGTGGCGGGGACAGTACAGCTGATGACCACGGCTGGGCGAGCTTCCCCCATGGAACCGCTTCCTGCTAGGTTTTGCCTGAACTAGCTCCTTGTCCTTAGGATGCCGCCGATGAAAAATTGATCCAAAGCCACTGGGTGCTCAAATTCCTGACTCTTAGACCTGTAAAAATGGGGAGGGAGGGGGAGCCTCCGGAAAGGCGGTCGGTCCGCTGGTTCCTTGCCAAGGCGGGCGAGGGAGGATCTGGATGAGTGCGGCCCCCACGGGTGGGACTTCCACGAGGGGCTAGTGGCAGCCACAGGCCCGGACCACCATGTTTCTGTATTTCTTCAGGATGACATTGGAGCTGTCGTCGAAGTAGAGGACGGAGATGGCATTGAGCTGGGTAGGGGCGCAGCAGGGCTTGGGCACAGTGTCCGGATTGATGAAGTGCACCTGTGACAAGTGGAGCAGTGGCTGGTGAGATGGGGTGAGGCCCTCCTGCCTGGCCTCTGTGTTTCTCTAAGGGACCCCCACTACCTGGGCAAAATGACCCTAAGTGACATGCTCTGAGCACTCCCTGTCCTAAGTACACATACCTATTCAGTTCTGAGATTGCTCCCATTTTGCAGATGGGGACAGTAAAGGGCAGGTTTGTTTATTTGTTTTGCAGTACTGGGGGTTGAACCTGCACCTTTACACTGAGCTACATCCCTAATCCTTTTTAACTTTCTAAAATACTGAGAGAGTCTCCTCCCTAAGTCACTATGTTACCCTGGGTGGGTTTAAACTTGCCATCCTCCTGTCTCAGCCTCTCAGAGTGCTAGGATTGCAGGTACGCGCCACCACACTAGTGCAAGTACAGCTAGCTTTCACAGCACACAGCTGGTGTGTAAGTGACAAGATCTGACACTTGGGGCCCGAGTCCTTGGCTGCGGGGCTGCCCTGCCTGGTGTCGGACGGCGGGCCGCCCCATTCTGTCCATGAACAGCTCTGTGTATTGCTCAGCCCAGGTTAGGAGCAACAAACTCAGATGCTACCTGAGTGCCTTTGGCAGGCAAAGAAGGCCAAGTAAACACTAGAGACAAGAGGTGACTGAGGCAAAGAAGGGAGAGGCTGCCACTTAGCCCAAGGTGACCACAGCCTGGCAGACCAGGACCACTGTCCTCAGATGAGCGGAGGGCTCTGACGGCCCACACAGCCAGCTTGGGTTTGCATCTAAAGGGAACTTCCGGCTTCCAGCAGCTCTGCCAACTAAACACCGAAGCCTGCAGAGGCCCTGCACTCCGGAAGGGGCGTGGCCCTGAGCTCCGGAAGGGGCGTGGCCCTGACATACCGCTGTCCACTCCTCCCAGAAGGTAGACAGTGGAGGAGGCCGGGGCTGCAGTCAACAGAACACAGCCTGACCCTGGACACGTGAGTCACGCAGTGCTGGGGCCACTCCTCAGTGAGCTGCAGTGACCAGTGCCCGTGGTACTCTAAGAGCTCATGAAAGTGTTTCATTTTTAAAATTATTAGGTGTAGGGACACACACTCTGGGAGGCTGAGGCAGAAGGATGGCAAGTTCAAGCCCAGCTTGAGCAACATAGTAAGAGCCTGTTTCCCTCTCTCTCTCTCCCTAGCAATGGAGTTATAGTTCAGTGTGAAGGCTCTGGGTTCAACTCCAGTACTGCCAAAAAATAAACGACAAAAAAAATGAGAGAACACAAAGAAATTATAGGGTCAAAGGCTATATTCATCTTAACGCCAAAGCAACCAGAAGATGTAACTTTTAATACCCTCTTATGGAGCAAGAGGCCCACAAAGGCACAGCATCCCCTTGGGCAGAGGCCTACTTAGGCCCTCGCTTGGAGGCAGCACCAGGCAAGATGGAGGCAGGATCTGTGGCCCTGTAGCCTGTACCCCAGCCAACCGCACCCAGGGCAGCACCCACCAGCGTCTGCACGATGGCGTGGTTGGTGGCGTTCATGTAGGAATTCAGAGGGAAGGCACATTCCCCTTCGCAGTAGTAGGCGGCATAGCCTTCAGGCGCGATGATCCAGTCCTGGGGAGAGAGGGCGGGGTGGAAGGTGAGCCGGCCCCGCCCAGAGTCCCTGGAGAGTGCGGTAGGATCGGAGCCCTGCGGAAGCCCTTCCCCTGCATGACGACATCCTAGGGCCAATCTCAGGCCGTGGCCACCCGGGCCACAGCGTCCAGCATAAACGGTAGAGTGAAAACGAGGGCAGGGCCGGGCCCGGGTGGAAACCAGCACAGACACGTCCGAGGCTGCGTCTCCTGGGCAGAGGTGCTCAGCAAGGAGCCCGCTGATGTCAGAGGGACAGGCTGGCACCGCCCCACTCCTGCTGGCAGTGACACGTTGCGGTTTGCTGAACCCCAAACCTCCGCGTCTGGGCGCACCCACCTGTCAGAGTCTAACGACCCCCCTGGCCTGGGCGGCACTTCTGAGCAGCAGAGTCGTGGTTGTGGTGCTGCCAGATGAGCCCCACACGCTGCCCTGGCCGGGAGGGTCTGGCTGCCATGGCAACTCCACCCAGAAAACGGCAGAGCCCTGATTGGCTCGTAAGTACTCGGGATTCTCCGGTGCCTGGGGTTTGGGCTCTACCCGCACGGGAATGGGGGATCTGTCAGTGGTCCTAGGGATGGACTCACAGGAGGGGACCAAGCCAGCTGTGCACATGGTCCCCACAAGATCCTGGACTCCCGCTGACTGCAAGCTCCTGCAGGTCTTATGATACGCGCCCTCTCCAGGACAGCTGAGCTCCACCGGGCAGACCCAGGGTGAGCTCAGGGCCGCATCTTCAGCCTTCCCAGAGATTCCTGAGTAGCTGCTGCTCGAGCACCCATCAGGCCTGCACCAAGCAAACACCTGTGAGGCCACAGGGCCTTGGGGCGTCTGGGCTAGAAGTTGGCTCCTGCCCTTTGCCTTGCTCTACTCAAATGGCTCCAGAGGGAGCAGCGGCCTTCTCCTCACACACAGCCCCCGCCTAAACTGCAGACTGGCTCAGGGACCAGCAAGCGCTTGACCTGAGCTGGGTCTCCAGGCCCATCCCCTGGGAACGTGACTCAGGGAAGGGGGCGGGGGACAGACAGGGGGCGAGGGAGCTGCGGCACAGCTCTCACACGCGGCCTGGCCCAGCCAAGGATGGGAATGAGGTATCCTGAGAGTGGGGGGCAGAGTCCAAGCCCCTGATTCCTCACGGTGGCTCGGACCTCCATCACATCTCTGCTCAGGGCCTTTAGGGACGTCCCTGTAGCCATAACTAAAGGCCACGTCCCCATTAGGCCTCTACCTTGGGCCCCCACTGCAATGCCCGCCAGCCCTTACCTGCCAGCCCAGGTCGCGGAAGCTCACGTACAGCTCGTGCTTCTTGCAGGCCTGCCGCTGGTCGCTGCTGCTGTTTTCTGAGGTGAGAAGGCAACAAAGAGACACACACGTGTTCAGTTCCCTCCAACCTGGGCAGGGTCTCAGCAGCAATGAGACCCAGAAGTAGAGGGTGGCTCTCCCAGTGCAAAAGCCAGTTTGAGGATCCAGAGTCTTAAACTCACCCCCAGTAGGGGAGGTGCCAACGCCCTGTTCCTCTCCCACGCTGTCCTTGCTCAGAGCACTCTCGGGCTCCTCTGTGGGCGCTGGCTTCCTTTACACACATGTTGTTTAAATACCAAGGGAATCAGACCCCGTCCACATCCCACAGCCGGCTGTGAGGGTCCTGCTCGGGGGATTGGCTTCTGGACCACCCCGCAAGCCCACCCCAAGGCACTCTGCAGGAGCAGGAGGTACAGACAGGGCCTGGCACCCAGCTGCCCCAGACCAGCTAGGAAGAGACAAGGGCGATGAGGCAAAGCCCCCTGATGCTGCAGGAAGACGCGCTCTGAGGTTTGCTTGGAGAAGAGTAGTTACGCACTGGGTTTTCTGGAAGTAGGGAAGTGTGTGGCCGGGGACGGCCTCTTGTAAACACTGCAAAAAACTGTGTGTCTGTCCCAACTCCCTGCACACGTACACCAACACCATGGACTTCCCTCCACCCTGTGACCAGCAGGATCGGCTTCTTTCTTTCTTTTGGTCTTTCAGTTTGCAATGATTTCAGTGTATTAATCATTAGGCATGGAACTCAGACCCTTTCTAAGAGCTGCTGCTGACTGTGCCCCTCAGGATCGGCTGCCTCTCAGCTGCCAGTCTCTCCTCAGGGCCTGGCATGCTCCATCTCCTATAGCTCGGGGCTCTGTCCCCACTCCTCCCATGTCGATTTGCAACCTGGCTTCCAGGTCATGTCCTCAAAGAGGTCTTTTGATGTCACCGCTGGGTTCCAAAGCCTCTCACAGAGCCTCCTGTCTACCAATGTTAGTGGAACCAACACACGTGCACACAGGAAGGAGGGTCGGTGGCTTGGCTTCTGTCCATCCCACCAGTGCCACCCAGGCCTGAGTGTCCCCAGAAGCATCAGACAGTGGTGAGGTGACCAGGGCAGACATCTCAGGATGGAGAGGAAGCCCAGAAGAGGGCCTGACCCAGGGACAGTCCGGAGACTCCAGGATGGGTCCCCGTTCTCTCTGGGGTAGACCCGGTATGCCCTGCCTGGGAAACTCACCCTTTCCTAGTGACTGTCACGAGTTCTGTCCCTGAAGGCAGGGACTGATCCCAGTGCACTGTGGGACACGGGGGTCTCCGGAATGAGCTTCCGCTTCCGTAAGATGCTCATCCCACACGTGCTTCAGTCACGCACACACTTTTAACCATGAAGCGCCCTGCCCTCCAAACCCACTAGCCACCAGGATGTCCAGAGAAGAGTGAAACATCCCCGAAGGCCGGCTTCCCTGCCCTGGGGATCCTGCCTGCACGGCTCCTAGGTTAGGGAAAAACGGCACAGGCCAGGCTGTGGCTTACCACAAAGGTTGAGGCAGAGGCACCATGCAGAAGAACCCGAGGAGCTGGGCTCTGCAGGTGCCCCCTGGAGGACACTGTCCTCGGTGAAAGTCTACAGTACACTGGCTGCCGTGGCAATGTGCAGGGCCACCAATGGTACCGTTGCCGCACAAGCCACTCTCTGTTCCCCATGGGAGGGCAGCAGGGAGTATGAGGAGCATCGCTGCAGCTCAGGGGCTTTGAGTGAAGCAGCCTGAGGGAGTGAAGCAGCAGATCAGAGTCTGACATTAGCACAGGCCAGGGACAGTGTTAGCTGGCTGGTGTGCTGAGACTAGAAAGCTCCTAGAGGCACGGGAGAGCTCAGGGGAGCTCAGTGACTCTGCAGTAGATTAGCAATGCCTGCCAGGAGCAGGGGAGAGGTGAGCAGTGGTCTGAGTGCTGTCTTAAAGCGAAACTGTGGTATCCAGCTTCATGTTCAAACCCAAGGCCGCACAGACCAGCGCTGAGGACAGCTCACAAGGCCAATTGTGAGCCTGCTGTGTGGATGGGCACCGGCCCTGCCACAAGGGATCCCAACTGTCCGAGGAGAAAGTGGTTTGAAAACCTGCATATCACTAGGACCCCTTCATGCCCAGCTCTTGTGCCAGCCACCAGAGGGCTGCAGCCACCTCCCCTGGCTAGGGGAGCAGCAGACAAGTTGCAACCGGTGCTGAGCCTCAGCCGCCACCCCCACGGGTTATCTGGTGAAGGTGGCTAATTACCAGGGCGTTGGGCCCTTGGGACCGAGGCACCGTGACTCCCCACCCCAACCCACACCGTCTGAAGAGCCGTTGGAGCCTGGCGGGGCAGAGGGTGCCACAGGAAAGGGCTCTGCGCGGGCAGCAGGCTGGAGCATGTGTCCCTGCCCGACGCACAAAGGGCTGCGTGCAGGAGAGGTTTCCACTTGTGTGGCCCTGCAGCAGGATTCCTGGCCCGTCACGTGAGGTGAGCACTTCAAACAGCACGGCCCACACGCCCGCGTGTACCAGAGGCACAGGCTCTCCACCCAGGGTGGGGCCTCGCCTTGTTTTGGTTTTCTTTTCTTTCATTTTTTTTTTTTTTAAGTTAAATTTCCAGGCAGGGTTTGGTAGAATTTAAAGCAAGTCCAGGAAACAGAAATCCACAGGCAGGAAGCAGATGCCATGCAAGCTTCTGAGGGTCTCGTCCCGGGGGTTACGCAAGTAGACACTTGGTCAGGGCTTGAGGAGGATGCTGTGGGGAAGTCAGGGGTGAAATTTTGGAGCCTCCCAGCCCAGGGGCACGCGTGACCGGCGTCCACACCATGCCGAAGTTGCTGCGATGGGATCTGCTGGCACCCCTGCCTTGCAGATTTGTCAAAGCCTCTAACAACTGCCCAGGCTCTGAGCTGCACCCCCACTGGTCTCCCCTGCTTTCCACCCTGCTCCAACCTCACCCCTGCACCACACATGCCAGCCTGAAGCCCTGCAAAGATGTCCACGTTTCCTTGTGATGAATTTCAAACACAACATGTGGCTCTCAGGAAAATGTTTCACCCCACTTGGCGCCCCTGCCTTGCCCTGCCTCGGGCACCCCGATCCCAAAGGGGCCGTGAGAACCTCCCACCCTGGGCCTCTGCCCTGAGGGTCCTGTGGAGTGGCGGGACCAGCCCAGCCTGACTCGACACTGAGCTTGCTTCCCCTGGGGAAGGTCCCCTGGCCAGTGCCACACACTCTGGGCCTGTCGGTACACACAGATAAGGATGACAGCCACCTCCTGCTCGTCCTGAATCAGTACCTCGGGAATCCCATGCCTGGGCTCTCGCCGCTGAACACAGTCCCAAGAGTCAGTGCGGAGGAGGCCCCCAACTGCAAAGCGTTCAGGTGGCTTTTGACTTCCTGAGAACCCTAAAAGGTTCCACCTGCAGACACTGGAGCCACGGACCACTGATCTCTATCCGGGGATACAGGGGGTCCCCCAGGCTCCAGAGAGCCTTGCTGTTAACAAGGCCACCCCCACAACAGGCTCCCTGCTTCCTTAGAAAGGAATTTAACCTTCAAGGCCAGCCAGGTGGGGCAGGAGAAACCACTAACAAACCAGGTAACTCAGGGTGGGGCCATGTGTAGGGATTTCCAAATCTTCCTGCGTTCTGTGGGTGCGATCATCAGTGGATGAGAAAGTCACATCCCACTGCTGCTGCTGCAGATCAACATCAAGAGCGGGGTCAGAGCGGACATATTCATCACCTCCAAGCTCTGGAGCTAAGAGTCTATTGTGGGTCCACCTGGTAAAGCCAAGGTGCTAGGGGCTGCCTCCATCTGGAGCTCAGGGGACACAGCTTCTCCCTGGCTTGTGTCCACCTCACCCCTAAGCCAGCTGAGCAGCCTCTCTGTCCCCGGTCCCCACAGCCCTCTGACAACACAAGAAAAGGCTCTCTCTTCCTAATGACACAGGAACTGCAGTTCTTCTGTGTCCACCTGGTCACCCAGGATGAGCTGCCCCGAGCTGAGGTCAGCTGATTCATCCCAAATTCATCAGGAACCTTAACTTCCCAGTGCCACAGATGTCACACATGCACAGGCTCCAGAGAGGGAAACCAGGGGATCTCTGAGGGGCTAATATCCTGCTCGCCATGAACACCTTCATGAGGAGCAAGCGGGAAAGGGCACCCTCAGGCTGCAGGTCACCTGTCCAGGAGACATGACGGGGGTTTTTCTTGCTGCAGGCTGTGCCCCAGGGGCCTGGCTGTCCTCTCTGCAGTCCACTTGGAACTGTTTTATTGGTGACATTACTGACGTGTACTCTCGGACAAGTTACTTAAGTCTGTGGCCCCAGTTTTGCCCCTCTGTAAAATGGGAGGCCACCTGTCTTGGAGCCTCAGAAGCTACACAGCATCACCTGCTCAAAGCTCTGTCCCACCCCATGGTGTGGACCTGAATGTTGCTACCCCCGGAAGTGTCTTTGGGGAAAACATCTTATCTTTAACGCTTCTGTTCATCTTTGAACTGTCTGCAATGAAAATGTTACCCTGATTTATAATTTTTTCACTTACAGAAACAGAACGCTTCAAAAAAACTGAGAAGTATCCCCAATAATGCACACACACACCCCTTCCATGTACATTCAAAAAGTACTTAAACTGGTCATGGCTTTGAAACGTTTTTCAATATTTAGAAAATACATGAAGGATACAGGAAGCTGTTCTCCCATTTCCTCCTCCCCTCCTGCAAGTGTAAGTGTAAAGGTCACCACTGTTTTGTCGCTAGAAATTTACACGACTGGTACCTTCCTATGCTAATGTTTCGCTCCTTGCTTTTGAGGTTCATTTCTTACTTTCTCAGACTTAACATGTGAGGTCCAGTGGGAGGGGGTTAGGGGTCTGTTTCCCCGCTGTCTGTTCCAGATCCATCTGCTGAGTACCTACACGGGCTCCGAGTGGGCCCCCACCTGTGCCCTGACCTCGCCCCGCGTGCCACCTACCTGCCACGCTGGCCATCCTCAGCGCTTCCTGGTTCTTGGGCGTCTTGGAGCGGTTCTGGCTGCGCTGCTTGCCCCCCGTGGACCGGACGCTGCGGAAGTGTACTTCCGTGGCCTTGAAGAAGGCCACCATGAAGGGCTGCTTGTTCTGGGGCCCGTGCCGCCCGATCAGGCCCGCCAGCTTGGGGTTGACACTCTGCCCTAGACAGGAAGCAGCAGATGCAGACAAAAGTGGGTGCACGAAAGAGTTCCACGGTTCATCCTCCCACAGCCTATTCATTCATCCAGGGAGCCGCGACTGAGTCCTCAGTCTGGGCCAGGAACTGTTTTAGGCACCTGGAATATAGTGGGAACAAAACAGAGAACATGCCCTGGGCCCTGAGCTTCCATGCTGGTGGGGAAGGCAGGCAGCAAATACAGCTTGCCGGTATCCAGTGGTGCTAACTATATGGAGAAAAATGAAGCAGGGGACTAAGGTTCTCAGGAGGGCTCCGGCTAGACACACGCACCTCATTGGTCAGAGCGAGTCACAGGGTCAACCCAATTTTGTGAGGTGGGCAGGGTTCCTATTCTGTGTCGTGGACAGCAGAAACAGTTGCCAACAGCCGCCTGAGTGCAAGGCAGGAGCCACCTGAGCAAGGACCCGGGGACAGTAAAGGAGGCCCACGACGGTGTCTGGGGGTGAGGGTTCCCCTACAACCGCCAGAGAAAGACACAGACACACGGGTGCACGCAGAAGCAAGTCGGAGGCCAAAATGCCGAGCGTGCCAGGAGCCACCTACAGCCAGAGGAGGCAAGGAAGGGGCTTTCCGGAACCACGCAAGGGGCACAACCCGCCCACTCTGGACCTGGAGCCCCAGACTGTGAGATAGCAAAGCCCTGCTGCCGTCAGCACCCTGCCTGTGTCACCCTGCTAGGGCCAGGACACTGTTAAGGGCCACCTCGAGCTGCCTGGGAGACTGATTACAGGGTCCAGAGCAGAAGCAGAGAGACCAGGAGGAGAGGCAAACAGCCCGGACAGTGGCCCGGGACGGTGGCAAGTGCGGTGGGAAGAAAAGGTCAGATCCTCCAAGTTAGTTTTCCAACCCACTTTGGAATTTATTTGGGTTATAACATGAGTTCGTGAACTGAGGCGCCCTTGCTCAGCTTCTCGGAAAGTTGAAGAAATGCACAGGGAGGTGCCCTGTGCCCCCAGCGGGTCTCCCCTGTGGCTGGTGACATCTGTGACATCCAAAGCAGGAGAAGGGCAGGTTCAGGATTTGTTTTCAAAGAAACTGGACCGGCTGAGACTTGGATGGCCGGGTTTGAGCCCTGGAAGCAGGGAGGGGCCTTCTTCCAAAGTGGGGAAACTGAGGAAAGGGGTGGGGCTGGAGCACAGAAGACAAAATCAGTTTGGGCTGCCACGGGAAAGACTTGTTCAGTACACAAGGAAGCAGGCAGGCAGTGGGAGGTCCCGCCGGGCACAAGCTTGGCTCTGGGTGGTGAGGAATAGGGCCCAAGCCACCTTCCTGGCTTCAAGCCCTGCGGCCAGGGCAGAGCTTGATACATGTCTCCTGAGGGCAGCGGCAGGCCAGTGGGTGAGCTTGGACTGCTCAGCCTAGAGAAGGGATCAAAGCCGGGAGACCAGATGGGCTTGCCCGCAGACCACGTGCACCTGGACAAGCAACCCACCCGAGGACAGCATCTGAACCCACATGAAGGGACACCCCAAGTCAGGTAGGATAGTCAAGGCAAGTGACATCCAGGGTTCAGGAGGGCCCTGCCTGCTCACATCTAAATGAACTTCACTTGGAGGCCTCCTAGACGGGCCAGGAGTCACGAGGCTCAGCCTCCCAAGACCTGCACGGTACCAAGGGGTTGGCTTTGGCTTTTAACAGCTAATGCTTAAAAGAACAAACGTCCCCAGGCCCCCAGATTTCACCTTCCCCACCCCGTTAACATGCGGCTTTCCTGCATTCTTGAGCGGGGTTTCCACGAGTTCATCCATCTAAAATGTGAACCATTCTATAAAAGGAACCATTAAAGCTGAACCCCTAGGAATAGTGCTTCCCCCCTGGAAGGCTTTTAGGGCAAAATAAAAATGCCTGACCTAAAAATCCGATGCTATCCCAGACACCTCCAAGCCCAGACCCTGGAGCAGTGTCTCTGCACTAAGGGGCTGGTGTGTTCTCGTGGCCACCATGTCGGCACGGCCAGGACGGAAGGCACAGGGAGACCTGCGTATGCCACTGAGCTGCCAGTGCTGGCCAAGAGAGGCAAAGCTGTGTGCTGGGGCCTCGATTTTCTCATCTGCAAAATGGGGATGACACTGCGGCCTCGTGCATCCTTCCTCCCTGGTAACCAACCCAATTTGCGTTTAGGCAGCTGTGCCTTAACCTGGCTTCACCCTGGCCTTATGGGTGGGGCCTGTGGATTAATAAGAGGCAACTAATCCTCAGGTATCAGGGTTTCGTCCATGACCCAATTCAGTCAGGGCATGCAAGAGAGGAATCCTGGAAGTTTCTAGGAAATCAGTGCACTACTGTAAGATTCAGAACTCTCTCTCAATAGGATTGAGGAAGAAGAGATGGATGGAGCCCCAGAACTAGCCACCATCTAGCACCCATAGGGAGACCCCACCCGGCTCTCTGAGGTGCTGGAGATTGAACCCGGGGCCTCGAAGGCACTCCGCCTCTGCACTGCAACCTAGGGAGCCCATGTTTTCAAACAAAGCTGGTTTGGTAGAGGAACAGCAGAAAGAGAAGTTCTAAATCAAGGGATCAAACCAGCCCTGCCGCTCACATTCTCACACCGGCCACCCGGATGAATGCTTCCCTTGACTGTCCAGTCCAAGCTGGTGTTCTGGGTGGTTCTTGCCACTTCTGCAGAGGCTGAGGATTTGGGACATGGGTGCTGGTCATGTTCGGCCTGGTACAGAGCCGGCCCTCAGAGGACAGAGGTAGATTCTTCCCCGCCATCATTAAGTTAGGGGAAAGGTTCAGGTTTTCAACTCAGAGACTGAAAGACATGACGGACACTCATTCATAGTGAACAGAAACAAAAAACAGGGCTATGGAAAGCTGGCCGGCAACTGCCCCAAAGAGTTAAACACATATTCACCACGTGACCTGATGGCCCCACTCCTTAGCACATACGCAAGAGAGTCACACTGCTCCACACCTGTACCCGGGTGTTCACAGCACCGTCAAGCACAGAGACAAAGACTGGGACTGTGGAGTGCCTGCAGACCAGACAGGGAGACACCAATGCCAGACCAGGGAGCACCACAGGTGTCGGGGCTGGGTGACCCGGTGGAAGGGGCCACCCATGCACTGTTGATGTTTAACAGCAACCTGGGCCTCTCCCTAGGAAGGTGGACAGCACCCCCCACCATCATCTCCAGAATCATGTTGCCGCATGTCCCCTAAGAGACAGCGTCCCTGTTTCAGGGCTGTGGCCGGCTCCCTATTCAATCTGACTCGTCCCAGACATTTAACATATATAATTAAAATAAGTAATTGCACATGCTAATGAAAGCGGATATATTGCCACATCATAACCACCTATAGTATGTACACAGATCCAATTTATTTTAGTTTAATACTGCAAGAAAGGGCCAAGGAAGGTTATTAGAGGGGAGAATTCCTTTTCCTTTCGTGAGGTTACACTGTATTAGCTTTAGTTAGTGTGTGTAATTACTTATATTTAAATGTCCAGCAAAGTTGATGTAGGTGAATCAAAGAATCTAGACAGGAAAACAATATATACATAATAATTGATAAAATATGTGTCTTTGGGGAAGTTGGGAATGATTTACATTTTAGCTGAGGGTTAATATTTCTTTTGAAAAGCTTGTGGATTCGCTCAAAAAGAGTCATACTTTGCAAATTAAAAAAAAGGATGCCCGACTGAACTTGAACTTCAGACAGATAAATAACGCTTGCAATATGTGGAACTCACTTAAACTGAGCAGTTATGTGTGGTCGTTCAAATGTAATGCAGCATCCTATGTTTTATCCGTGAAAGAAAGCGCCTCTAGGTGTGTGACAACGCCAGGCAGACAGAGCGGAGGCAACGGCCATCTTGGCGTCTTTCAAGGGACTCATGGCTTCCCTTCCTCAAGCACCTTTTGTTTTTGTTGTGTTGCTTTTTAAAGTCTTCATTTTCAAATTAAGATCACAGTAAAATCAATCCTATTTTTTGGGTTTGCAAATCTCTAAGTATTAACATATGCGTGGACTGGCCAGGCCGCGCTTGGGTCAGGACGCAGAGGAGCTCCGGTCCCAGCACTTCCCTCCGGCTGCCTTTCATCTCCTCAGTTCTCAGCAGGGGTGCTGCCCCGCCCAGGGGACATGTGGTGATGTCCAGAGACCTGTATGCCATCAAGGCTGGGCAGACGCCACTGGCACTGAGAGAGCAGAGGCTGGGGCAGCCGCTAAGGGCCACACAACACACAAGTGGGCCCCACACTGAGTTATGGAACCCATGCATTGACAGGTCAATGCCGAGAAACTGTGGTTCCCGACTACAGCCTCCTGCACTTGCTGATCGCGTCCCCGTGGCTTTGGTTTTTCTAGGTATTTCACACACATGGCTTCCTCCAGCCTGCCTATGACAATCTGGAAATCTTTGAGGCTGATCCATGTAGTTGTGTTTCTGGAGTGCACCCTTCTGGTTGTGCGTGGTACGCCATGGCGCACATGCATTAGAGGGCAGAGATGACATCCACACCCTGGCTCAGCTGACGCCATGATACATGCTTTCCCACCAGGAATCCAGGTAGAACCCGCGAGAAAGGACCCCCGCCAACTCAGGAAGGGTGCCAGGCCCAGCTGTGGGGTGCCCATGGAGACTCCAGACGCAGGAGGGATGCAGACTGGTACAGGGCAGGGGGTGAGCAAGTGCCTGGAGGCTGGGTGTGGCAAGGCAGGTGAGGACAGGGAGGGGCGGCAGGTGCCTGACGGACCCGCTGGCTGCCTGCAGGTGGCACAAGCAGCTGTGAGCTCGGGGAAGGTCCCAGGAACAGGCAGGGAGCAGAAGCGAGGCCTCTCGGCAAAGAGGGACACAACCCACCCCCAGCGAGGGCAGCACCTTCGTCTTCTTGTGGCTTCTTTATTTTCCAGGCCTGGGGCCATCAGCTGCCCTTCGAGGCCCACAGAATAAGAATGTTTCTCATTCACTGTGGAAAACACACGAGTCCCAGACACTCCTCTGGATGGACC